CGGGGCGAGGCGAGGGGAGGCGGCCAGGCCCCGCCATGGCCCCAGCGGGTGAGTGAGGCACCCGGCGGTGCCAAAACCGACAATTCCCGAGGTTTTTCACCTGTCAGCAGGGGCGTCTTCCGCTGCATCAAGGTGCTCAGAGCCCCGTCCAACCTGACCTGCGATGTTTCCAGGGATGGGGCATCTACCGCCTCTCTGGGCAACCGGGGCCAGGGCTTCACCGCCCTCCTCGAGAAAAATTCCTTCCTTAGATCTAGTCTGAATCTCCAGTCTTTTAATTTAAAACCGTTACCCCTTGTCCTGTCGCTACAGGCCTTGCTGAAAAGTCTGTCCCCATCTTTCCTGTAGCCCCTTTCAAGCCCTGGCAGCTGCAGGAAGGTCTCCCCAGAGCCTTCTCTGCTCCAGGCTGAGCCCTCCCAGCAGAGCTGTTCCAGCCCTCGGAGCATTTTGGTGGCCCCAGTGCCAGCTCATGTCCAGCTTTTCATGCCCCAGCACCCCCAAGTCCTTCTCAGCAGGGCTGCTCTCCATCCCTTCACCCCCCAGCCTATGCTGAAACCAGGGGTTGCCCCGACCCAGGGCAGGACCCTGCACTTGGCCTTGTTGAACCTCATGAGGTTCACAGAGGCCTATTCCTCAAGCTTGTCCAGGTCCATCTGGTTGGCCTCCCATTCCTCTCACATGTCAACCGCACTGCTCAGCTTGGCATCATCTGCAAACTTGCCAAGGGTGCCCTCGATCCCCGTATGTCCTTGATGAAGATATTGCAGAGTACTGGTCCCAATCCGGACACGTGAGGGGATACCACTCATCACTGCTCTCCATCTGGACATTCAGCCATTGACCACTACCCCCTGGTTGCGACCATCTGACCAATTCCTCACCACCCAAGAGTTCACCTATCAAATACATGCCTCTCCCAGTTAGAGCGAAGGATGCTGTGGGGACCTTGCCAGAGATCGGAATACACTTGCATGTCACAGGCAGAAACTACATTTTTTTCCAAGGCAGGTACCAAGGAATACCCAGGAAACAACTATCGTCTTGGATCAAAACCATAACCAATCTAAAATCCAGTGTCCTCTCGCTCCACTGAGAACCATCCAAACACTGTTAGAAGAAGCAGTTAAGAAACTCCACAAGAAGATATACCACTTGTCCCTCAGCAAGACTGTTCCCATCCCCTCATAGCGAGGGAGCAGTAGCTGTCCTTCCCAAATGCTGCCCAAGCACTGGCTGCTACCACACACATGCACTTACGTAGCAAGAACCTCAATTACCTTCCTTAAAATAAGCTTTCTCTCTTTCCTCCTTATCACATCTCCTTACCTCATCCTGGGCTAACCAGTCCCATCATCAGCTCACATGCTGCAAGTTCAGCCTTTTTCCCTCCCCTTCTGACTCCTTTCCAAGGACAACTACATCACTGAATGCAACGAGCTCCTCCCCAGGTACTGTATTATTTCAAAGCTGCATAAAAAGGAACCAGAAGATTACTTGGAGAAACTTTTGTGCTATTGGGATGCCTGTTCTATGGCTGGTTCTCTGGAGCGCCTCAGCGTCTTCTCTCAAAGAAAGTCAGCAGCATGGCAACATCTAGAAATTTTACGATGTCCACACTTGGCTCGCTTCTCCCCCCCGTTCGTACATTAACCGCTGAGCCTCCTCTCTACACCTTTGAGACAGCCTACGGACAAACTTTTGCCATGATAAAGATGATGAACTTTTTTTCTTGACGGAGTTTCTGACCCAACAGCCCCCTTTTTCCAAACCGAAAGCATTCAGCTTTTTTGCTCCTTCCTAGATGTCACCGACTGGTAAATATGCAAGGTGATGGAATTGTTCTAAGGTATGATGTTATGTGCCTACCTAATCTGAAGAAGAATGAAACACTAACAGTACAATTAGGCCCTTTGTAAGCATAACAGGATTTCAGCTGTCAAGCAGATAAAGTTACTTTATTCATTTTTAGTCTTACGAACAAGGGGTCAAACCACAAGCATCAGTGCACTGAGATACAAACGAAAATTTCCCACATTAAATATAAGCCACGACAATATTAGATTTGCAATCGTTCTGATAATTCTTATAGACTCGCAGTTCATATTTTCTTCATAAAATATGCGCACATTTCATTTTTCCTTTTTCTTACTCTGTTCCTCTTCCTTCTGTTTCTCAAAGTAACACTTAAGAATGTCGTTTAGCTGCTGCTCACACTGGCTGACATGTTGTAATCCATTATCCCATCCTAGAAGCAGCAATAAAGAGAATAATTACATCTCCCTTTACAGCATCCATCATGTAATTAGTCCGCAGTGATGCGAACATCTATTTTTCCCCAAGCCTATCAAACGGCTGCAATATTTCTACTTTGCAAATTGTTCTTCTTCAGAGTTCAACCGTTAATGGGATGCATCCTTTGATGTCATCCAAGTAGGTAAATTAAATAATTACTCTTTTGGCACCTATTCTTGGCAGCGATCTGTTGCTTTAGAGATTGAGCACTCCCTTGGTAGTATCTGCTAAGGTAAGGCCCTACTCCTTTCAAATATGTAAATACTCAATTGCAGTAAATAGGTAGAGACCGTAAAAAACTGATTTCCAAAACCTGTTTTTCCTTCTGCGGTCCAAAAAAACAAAGACATATATTCGCAAGACAGTGACCTGTAAACAAAGCAATCAGGGAATTACGTGGTAGAGTGAGCTGATGGCCAATAGCATTGGGTTTTTTTTCTAGCAGCTCAAAATGTATCTTCCACAAACAACGAGCCCCTAGCTGCAGAAAGACGCTACGCATTTTTCTTTCCTTTATTTAAACACCATCTATTCAGAAATACTTTGCTATATAGAAGAATTTGTTGGTAACTTGTTTCTGCTGGGGTCTACTACGTAAAAGCAAACTGGGAAAGGACTAGAAATGCAGTAAGGGGTTTCAACGCTCCTTACCAGCACGCTCTTTGTGTAGCTATCTGATGGCATCCAAAGAAGGCGCGTTACTGGGTAACAAATACCCTTCAAGTATGAAAACAGTTTGCAGATAAAACTGCTAACCTGCAATGTGCACATACATGCGTTTTCCTGCAATATACTATATTTTATACATAATAAATATACTGTTTTATGCAGTATGCATACTATACACTTTATATGTTGTATAGTATATATACACTATAAGGTGTATTATACATCACTTAATTAAAGGACATGGACTGCACAAATTCAAAAATACAGGAGAAGAAAATATTACCTTTGCAGTGATGAATTACTTTTCCCCACAGTCTGTTCTTACTTAGACAGGCCAGATTTCCGACAATCAACAAATGCCTCTTAGCTCTCGTTAGCGCCACGTTCATTCTCTTTTCCGAGTCTATGAACCCAATGTGTCTTGTTCTTACGCACGACAAAACAACGATCTCCTTCTCAGCGCCTTGGAACGCATCTACAGTGGACACCTGCACAGCTTTAATTTCAAAAGCCTCGGAGTGTACGCCACTAAGGAAATTCTGAATCTGCAGACAAATGAATAATGGATGGTGAGGAGTTACGCTACTCACAGTCAAACACTTGTCTTGAGCAAACACACTCAATGAGTCCGAGTTTACACAAGATGCGAGCTAAGAAACTACGGAGTGCAATGACAGTAAAACCTCCAGTAATCACAGGAAAAAACTACACAACGAACCTGTATTTGATGAAACACCGGGGCACTCAGTACGGCAACCAGTGCTTTCACTTACTAATCACGGCAGCCCACATCCTGCCTTGGATGACCGGGTGAGGTGCAACACCAGCCTTGCTTCACTGGGTGACGTACAACTCCAGCCTCGCTAAGCAGATGTCCCTGTTACCTGTCCTTGTCACACATGTCAGTTTGTAACAGCTCCTACTCCACTTATGAAAATTAGGTACTATTTAATTTGCCAATTTTCTGAGTATGCGAGCGGAAGGAAAACAAATGGAAAGATTTTTTTTTAAATCATATGTTTGAATTAAAAGATTTTGGCTAATTTTAGAGGAAAAAAATATTGATTTTTTTCTTTTAATAAGAAAGAGAAGTTATGGTAAACTCCAGTTAACCTATCCTGCATTTGTTTCTCGCTTCTAGTTGACTCTTCCTAGTTGAAATGGAGCCTACGCTTAAGAATAAACAAAACCATTTAAGAAAACTGTTTTACTGCTGATACGTCATACAAACCTTACACATCTGTGATTTATAAAGAGTAATCACACCAATTGCAGATCCTTCTATCCCACTTGCAATCAGACACTGGATGAGCTTGACTGTAAAATGAACTTCTGCCATGTTATAAAAGCTGTTGTCTCTTTCAATCTGGAAATAGGGAAGAAGATTTCCAATTTATCTCTCACCAACAGCAGAACGCAAACAGAAATAGAATGGAGGAAGAACTACAATATTGCCTTTTTATATAAGAAACATGTAAAAACTTACTTGCTCTACCCCGTTAACACTATAAAAACATAGTGTTGGAAGCCAGTCCAATAAAGGACTTCTGTCTTTCTCAGAAACACCATCTATCAGATTTCCTTCGTAGAACAGCTCGTTGGCTATGGCACTAATAGCAGGGTGACATCGGTACTGTGTCCGAAGAAGTATTGGTTTATGTCCCTAAAGAATTACGACATGGAAAGTGTGACTAGGGAAAAGAATTACTAAATATCTTGCAATGCCAGCTAGGTCAAAGAAGAAATAAGTAGAAGTAATTCCTGCAGTAAGCTGACTTAACATTCATACATTCACTTCAACAAGGATTAGAACAAATACTGCAAGCCCCTGATTCTTCTACCCCGGATTGAAAACTGCACAAGAAGATCAGAAGGCAGAACCTGTCACTGTTTTTCAATCCATTCTTGGTTTACATTTGTTACGCTTACAAATTTCCGTGCACTGTGGAAATAACATTTACAGAGAAACGCACTAGAATGGAATCTGTCGAATTAAAAACCAGGCTGAAACACTGATCCTCTGACGTGAAAAAAACCCAGAAGTCTTTTAGTGACTTCAGCTGACCTGCAATTTCACCCCCCACCTTTTCTAAAGACGTGGTTAGTAGTACATACCATTAAGCAAAGCCGGTCCAAGAGAGTCTGCTCCAGTCCCTTTTCATGAACACTCTCAGACCCTTGAATCGTTGGCGGTAATTGCTTAGGGTCTCCGACAAGGACTAGCTTTTCACACTGAAACCTAAAGAAGAACGTTAGAAAACAAGAAAAAATGTTCTAAAAAAGGATGTCAAACTATTCGTAACAAAAGTGTGTGCTGCGTTTATATATCACAGATTGCTTTCCATCAGGCTCCCTTCTCCCTCACCCTCTTTCCACAGTTAAAATAACATGTTAACTCAAGGAAGGCACCTAAGAGCAGGCCTCGGTTTAAAATTACTCTGTCTAAGGTGCGATCTCGGAGTTCACGTTCTTAAAAAGACATGCAAGTTTGGCAATTTTTTGAGGTTGTGTCACTGCTAAAAGTTATTTCTCTGGTGAAAGACAAAAAGATGGCTGTACCTTGCAATGGGGAGGAGAGAAGCGGGTTCGGTCATCTGACTGCACTCGTCCAGCATCACTACAGGGAACTTCAGAGTATTCAGGCAAGGGAACGGGCAGGCAGCACAGGTAACTCCAACCACTTTTACCTTTGTTATTAGCCAGGGGAGAATGGGCAGACAAAAAGTTAAGGTCGTTTAATAGTTAATCTCTGTGCAGTACGTTAACTACAGCTTCAGCAGTAGAATACACCTAAATTAATTTTTAGCAGTTCTACTGCATGCTGTCTCTCATACTCGCTGGGTCTCAAAAAATTATATTCTAACTTCCAGTAAAAGGCACTGTGTATGCATGGAGATGGAGCCACTCCGTAAGAAACGGTTACTGTTTCTTGTGCTTGGGATGTTTATACATCAGGATCGTTCACAGACTCATGTATTTTAAGACCAGATCTGGTCTGGTACAGAGAGAGTTCGGATTACACAATCCTCCAAAACCTTCTTGAGCCCCAGTGGGAAAAGTGGCAGCGATGACCGCGAGGAATAAGCACAAGAAACAAATTGTGCAGATCCACTTTGTTACAATTGCTGTGCAACAAGCTGGCATTTTTTGATTCTACGACTGAGGAGAAGAGGCAAATAACTGGAAAGACCAGAAATTGAGAAGATTTTTCTACAAGAAGCAGTAACCTTAAAAGGTAATACTTTGATGAACAGTTACTTACAATATATACGAAATCATCTTGGTGGTTGATACTCAACTCTAGGATAGATTTAGCTCAGTCCTTACCTTTTACCTTTATGACTATATATAATTTTAGTTTCACAGTCACAGCGCAGACTAGCTGTGTTCAGAAATTTTTCTCTCCCCACCTTGTAAACTAGATCGGTGATAGTAAATCAGATTGCAATGCAGCTGAGAAAGGGTTCCTGTCTCATATCTGTAAACAGGAACTGCAAGTGCAACTTAGAGAAGCCATACACAGGTAAGACACTAAGCTATACCTGTGGAATCAAACCTGTCCTAGTCCTAACACTCATTGTATTTTTCAAGACTTTAGGAGCTTGGCAGGTGTGAGAGGGGATTCCTGGTTTCCCTTTGCCGGGCCTGATGGATAAGGCATAGCGAATCCCCACTTCCCCATCCCATCACTTTGACTGTACCTGTTGCAGTATAGTTTTATTGGTCCCCAGTTTATGTTGCTCAATACTCTTCCTGACGTATATTTTTTCAACCGGAGTTAAATCTTCTTTCATGAGAGCAAGCAGTTCTTTTAACTGCTCATTTTCATTTCCTGAGCCAGCATGTAAACTTCAAAAAGATTTTATAACATGCATTACAATGAGTGAAAATAACAGTGCTTTCAGTGTTCAGCGAACAACCAATATAGAAAAATAATCATACTTTATACATAACAGTACTTTACAACAATGTACTAACCCATCCTGAATCCAGCCGAGAGAGACTAGCATAATATCCGTTTTAAAACAGACCTTTATCCCACCAGCTCAGACCCTACCCCCCCAACCAGAGACCTCCGTGTAGTAAATGACTCCTCCAAATACACAGCTGACTTCAGAGTGGAGCAGAACCGAGGAGCAGTTTTTCATTCTTGTACCGTTTGGTACATACCCTTGGTATGCTACTGACACCAAGGAATGGAAATTTAATCTTTATTCATCTTGAACTTTACTTTCTTCTCTCAAATTGTGTTGAAAGTACTGTGTAGATTGCTTGTTTTTAAGTAGTTAAAGGACAAACCCCAGAACACTAGAGCAAAGATAACTTAGGTAAGAAGTACAGAATTCTTGAGTTGCTACCATTAATTCTCTGAACATTAGATTTACGATTGCTTCCTCCTAGTTCTGATCACTACAGCAGTACGCATCTATTTCAGGTCTGTCTGTTTTGCTTTTCTTCCTGGTGCAAACTCCCAAATCTCTAACTGCCATTATTTTCTTCTCCTCTACTATGTCCTCTTTAAAAGCATTAGCTCTATTCCGCAACAAACGACATTCCCAAATCAAGGTAAAATTTCACCACCGTGCAGAGGCTGGGCGGGGAAGAACCTGATGTAGGCATATTACTATCACATTTTGAACGATTTCTATTCAATTTTGAATGATTACTATTCAAAATAGTAATATTACAGCATGCATACTCTCATGAATCTTAGAATCGCTTCGGAGCCCTCAAAGATTAAGGTTCTTACCTATAGGGAAGAATTGCTTTGGTGATTTTCCTAATACTTCCCACTCTGATAAAATCCTCAAATCCGAGATCAAGTAGCCTTCAAAGAAAAAGAGATGATGCACGTTACAGAAATGTAAAAAGAAATTTTGAAAAAAATTAGAAGTGTTCTAAAAAGGCTAACAGACACGTCACAGAACACCGAAGAGCACCAGCTGCTATGATTAACCAGATAAAGTAACTCTTCTGGGGGCCACAGTTCAAGTAAATCGAAGTATGTTACCTCATCATGATTTGTCTCAAAAATGCTTAATACCTTTATGATTCTCCTTAAATAGTCTTCCATTTGTACTTTCCCTTCCTCCCTTTATCCTTCCAAACTGTGAGTTTTATTTCATGTTAGCCTTTAACCACTTCTTTTTCTTCTCCTGGTACTTGCTGAAGCTTGCTTCCCAAGTCTGACTCTCTCTGCCTCTCCCTCTCTTTCCATCCCTTCCTCCCTTGCTGCTCCTTCCCAAAGCTTCCTGAGCAATCCCACTGTCTGTCATGATGGTTTTTAACAGTAAATTTCGTGAGGGTAGGGCCCAATATTAGTCTCATATAATAGCACAGTTAGCCTTACACAGTCTTTTAGCGTATACATGCTGTGCAAAGGAGCAAGGGTAAAATTAATGCCCCTGTGCGACTCTTTCTAGGGAAATAATGCAATCTTTTTGAAGCCTTATACTGGAAATACCCACACAATGATCTTTACCATATACGTGCATTATGGGTTTTTGGAACAATAGTCTGCAAAAATCTTAGTAACCTACCCCAGCAGTATCCTGTCAACGGCAACGTTTGTGGGAGAAGCAATCAGAAGTTTCCATGGAGCTGGCCTTGGACCCTCCGTCGCTTCACTCCTTTCGAAGAGCTGTACTAGGAACAAGATCACAACAGACAGCAGATAGCTCTTTCCGGCTCCAAAAACACCTGGTATTTTAGAAGAGAAAGCTAAAGTTACAAGTGAAAAATGTCTGGAAAGTACAGTTTTAATCAATTGTTATAAGTTTATCTTATGAAATACGCTGACATTCCTGTCAAACATTGCAGGTACTTGCTGCAGCAGCTCCAAGTATCCAGGGGCAACCAGTTGCCCTAGGCTTTGCAGTTCCTGCCTGCAGTAAGTTAACAGAAAACTACAGGAGCGGGGAAGGTAAGGTATTTTTCCTAAATTTTCTGGTTGAATACATGCATTACTTGCTAAGGAGTCTCATCGATACATTAAAATAATATAAGTGTCTGCACGCACATCCCTCATACCATGTCGTCAGGTGCAGAGTAAGGGATTTGAGAGATGATTATTTTGGAATGACTAATAATTTTAACTAGATTCATATGGCTGGCAGCCTACAAAAAGCTCAGGCAATTTAAGTCTAGTGGTATCTCTACTAATAAAGTGTCATTATTGTCAACGTCTTTACTTTGACAGGATCTGAAAGCTTATGTTTATAAGTAAGTGCTTCTCAATACTGATTTAAAAAAAAGTAAATCTTTGCGCTAAGATGTTATTAGCCTTTTTGTACGGTTGAAAAGGGATAAAACAAAGATAGAAGCAAGTATAAAACAGCAAGGAATAACGTGTAATAGAAAACAATTATATGGTAATCTATCAAAGCTGATATGTGACAAAAAGTGCTTTTAATATGAAAAGAAATAAGCAGAAAACACTAAATAACTCTGGTTTTGCGTATAGATCTTGCTAGGAAAGAAGTCTATACTCATACAAAGTCCTGCAGAAGACAGAATGCAAATTTGAGGATCAAAAGCTCTGTGCTGATAGAATGGATGGTATAATGCCAAGGTCATTATCAGAGGGCCCTCATCCAAAAAATGAATTTTCAGGAAATGCATGAAGTAGGTGAGGACAGCAGCGTCACAAAAAAGTTTAAAAGGATATTCCATACACAGAGGCAGTTTAGCTGAGCTCATCTTTGGCGATACATTTAAAATAAGTCAACATTTACCTAAGACATTAGAATATCCCTTTAAGTCTACCTGGAACTGTAAATATAGGATTAAGGAAAGAAGTCTACAGTTTCATCACTGAGAAAATTCAGGGATATTTCACTACCACCGGCATTACATCTTCATTAGCATTTTTGCAAAGATAAAATAGGAGCAAATTTCACAATTATTTGCTATATACCACGTATGATAGTGATAGGGAAGCTCTGATGTTCTTCCACTGGTTTGATATTTTCACATGAGGTCATCATCTGAGCGATCCAAATGAGTGATGTAGCTTGATCGGGGTTCAGTGAGAACGTTTGGATCATCTTTTTAGCTAGTCCCATTGCCACTTCAGTGCTGACAGGCATCATTGTGCGTTTCAGGCTGATGGCAGGTGGAATAAATTTTCTTTTGGTGACTCTATTAGTAGCATTTTCAGAACCAAAATTCCTAAGGAAAATACAACGGTCAAAAGTTGCGGTATAACACTGCATATATGTATATATATAACCTGTATCTCCTGCTTCTGGTATTCTTAGTCACCTGACACTGAAATGCTGAGGCTTTATGATTAACAGCTGACATAATTAAAAGTTGCTGCCCCCTGCACCCTGACATATGCCTGGACTGTATATTCCTCCCCCTTATTTCTTCCCTGGGTGAAAGCTGGATCTTGAGAGACAGGCTTTTGGGTTTTATCATTGTTGCTGTACAGTAATGCTTTCAATATGACTTACTCCAAGTCCAGGAGACGGACAGAATTAAGAGTGGTAGAGTAACGTAGTCAGAGGAAGCAGGGATTCATTTAATAGTTTGTTTTATATGGTGAATCGTAAGCAGTCTTGGAAATACCCCTATATTGCTCCGATTCTCCAAGAAAATATTTTGAGGTTTTCTGTCAAGTGACTGTTAAAATTGGGAAGGAACAACAGTTGCACTGAAGCCCCCCGTGAAGCATATGCATTAACTTAATACAGATCAGTCAGTGGCTCTGCTGTCAGTCTAGTGGTCTTAATAATGCCTAATATTCATCTGTAGGTTGTAAAATGTAGGCTGCAGGTAAGTTTTAAGGAAAAGATACCCTTAGGATCGAGTTAAAAGTTAAGCAACCGATACGTTTTCATTTCCACATAAATGAAAACTGCATTGTCGACAGTTCATTCCTTGCACTGTTTTTCTGATTTTAGTTTTCCTCATCCACTTTTTAATAGGGCAAACTCAATGGTATTTTTGTTGTTGGGTTTTTTTCCGTACATATTGACATACTGTATGCTCATAGTATGATGGAAACAATAACTTACATTTTTAGTAGATATGGTATTAGTGGTAACGTAGATGGATTGAAGTGCTCCTCCACATTTCTTAAAGATGTAAGCTCACCACTAGCATTACAAACCAGCAAGGCATGAACAAACACTGAAAAGGCCACCGAAAAGTAAAATTAGGAAAAAAGGAAATTAGCCTAAATTTCAAAGCAGCTAGATAAATGAATTTTGGCTAGATAAATGAATTACAAAACGCCAAAAGAGTAATTAGCCTCCTGTAGCAGAATGCAAGTTAACCCAATTGCCACGTCTGACTCAATATTAAACGTGAGGAGACGCTTATTAGCCCTTCTTTTCAAGGTGCGTTATTCTCAAAGTATTTGCGATTCCAACGTTAGGAACCTTCCGGGAAGGAAGCTTAGATAAAAATCCTTACTCATTTCAAAAAACACGTGAGATATTTAGAAGGCTTTGGAATTTAGGAGGTGAATTTTCTAAGTAAACCATCTGTATGGCGATAACTAAGCAGATGTTTTCTTAAAAAAGCCAAGACAGAAACACAAAGGACACCTCCAGTGGGCCAGACTCAAATTCCATCTAGCCTGTTTCCAAAGCGTACAAAAGTGTGTGCCTAGGGGAGAGTGTAAGAACAGAACAAGGATTCAGTTATATTTTTCTGAATTCAATGCCAGTTTCCTAAGGTTCTGGGGCTCAGGGGTTGCCTAAGTAACAGGTTTCTAATACGTTTAGTAGCCCACATACCTTTATTTTGCTGTTGTTTATTACTGCCAACAACTAAACGTTACTTAAAGCTTTACTTTCGTACAACTTGGAGGTTTAGTTTTGCAATGGTTATAGAATTATGAAATAATCTGTATTTATGATCACAAAGAAAGTTAGGACCACAGATTTCCTAAGAAAAAAGAAAATGCTGTGATTCAACAGCATTAAGACTGAAAAGATATATATTAACTATATATAGCTATACAAAAGCTATATATTAACTCTTCCAGACCCTGACTGCTCGAGAGATTCACACTCTCTGCAATTCAAACTTGGGGAACAAACAAACCCAAACCTCCAACTGCATTTGAAGCTCATGATTCTGATAGCTTGTGTGCTCACAAAGCACTTGTATGCCACTGTTTTGGGTTTTTTTTCTATATTTTTTAGTCTTCTGAACGTAATTCAGAACAGGAGTTTCTACGCAGGCTCACTGAATTGTGCTTTGCAGGAAGTCTCTCCCTAACGATTACACAGAAAGCCTAAAAAGCTTAATTTGGTGACTTAAAATACTTGATTTACCTGCTTAAGGTTAAGTGCAATGAATAAAGCCTTTTGTGCTCAAGCACATGATTTTCATATTGCATTAAAAGAAAGCAAGCAGAGGTATATTATTACTAGCTCCAGAATGACCACATAATGCACTCTTCACCTCTTTCTTTTAAAAAAAACCAAACCAAAACAAAGCCAAAACTTTAGCTCAATTCAACACCGAAAACAAGAAACTTTTGCATCATGTTTGGCAGCACATTTGTCAGTTTTCTGTGACATCTATAGCGGACCCACAGTGTTTCTCTCTGCACTTAAGGTCCACTAACTTTACTGTTTCCAAAACACTGATTACAAAGTATTACAAAAATACCCCAAACAAAAACATTAAAACCAAGAAGAAGAATGGCTGCAACTTACTTGGGAACAGCTTGCTAGAGAATAAAAAGGTCAGTGGTTCGTTAAAACCCATCAGTGCTAGGTTTCATAAAATTTTAAAGTACAATTACAAAAATTATGAAAAGCAGACAGATTTGTCTTTTTCTGAATTTTGAAACACCAATTTTTGAGTTATTCTAGACTGTAGCAACAAAGGCATGGAAAGGAACGTCGGGACAGCCAAATCACAGATTTAATATATGGCTTTTTATATAAACAGAAATTTTTGATAGTAAGTTGTTCAGGGTTTTCATTTGCTTGTTTTTCAAGGACAGTAACAACATATTCCTGTTACCTATACTCTGACAGTCAACTTGCATTCTATGTTATATTATTCACTACATTATTTCTATTTTCCTCTTTTTTTTCATCACCCATTTAGAATTTCTTACCAGCTACTTTGCAGGTTTAACTGCATTAAGTACTGTACTGAGACGACATATTCAAAGATACAAGGGGAAAAAAAAAAACCCTGTGAATAAAATAATGTATTAGATGTGAGAAATTCTAATCTCATCCTTCATTGCTGGCCAGATTTTTCCCTCACTAGTTATTTCCCACAATTCTGACTTATTTAGTGTACAACTTACTATTTGATTGCCAGTTTGAGGGGCAGTAACCTTTCAATGGTAGTAATTCTACTTCATTGTTGGAGGATGGTCCAAAGAAAGCACTGCTTGCAATGAACGTATCGAGGGGATCAAAGTTCAGAGTCTTCGAAACAACCCAGATATCATCTGTCAAAAAAAAAATACAGAGTTCTCCTAGGCTGCTTCTACAGCCATATCTTAAGGAAAACGAAGCTGGAGAAAATCGCCCAGCATTCACGGTGCTGCAAATGAAACCATCGCTAAGGTGAAAGTAGGGGATATTAGAAAAGCCCTAAATAAGTGTTAGTTCAGTTCTAAGAGAACGAAGAAATAATTTGCAAATCTTCTAGTACTTCTAGTGTCTGAAATGGAGGGTAACGGTGAAGTTCTCCCCTGGTGCATATAGCAGCGTTTGACTTCTGACAAATGTGAAGTATTATTGATTTGGCGAGTAAGTGGAGCAAATCACTGAAGTATACTACAAATCTAGTTAACCACTCTTTTGCCAAAGAACAGCAAATACTGAAAGTAAGCACACACTTTGCTTTTCCTTTCAAAACAAACACATGCTGGAGCCCCCAGGTGTTCCGTTTCATTTGGCACACCTGATGAGACTAAAGCTCCCTACACTATTCCTATACCGTATATTGCAGAACACAGCAAGGGAGATTTCAAAGTTAGGAGCAATAATGGCACGTTGTATTTACTGGAACAAAAATGATCAAAAAATTATTGTGCACAAATAAAAGTTTTGCCTATGCAGAACTTCAGAATTTAAAGCTACAAAACCCTGATTTGTCAGAACCTTTCAGAGTCTGTACCGAAAGTGCACGCAGACCAACACTTTTGTTTCTGCATTTCCTTTATATCGTTTTCAACAGCGAAGTGAAGAAACTCTGAAGATACAGTTGGGTAGCAATTTGAAAATTACTGAAGTGAAATGAACTATTGAGACTATCTGGATCAAATCACTGAACGTCCTCCAACTTTGTGACACTTCAATAATTTAGAAGAGTTACGCAACAACTACTGAAACACTGATTTGTACATCAGGTTTTCCTTAAATATGATCTATTTGAATACTGGGCTTTCCTGAAACTTCACGATTCACAGATTTAATACACTCCAAAACCCAAGGACATGGAATTTCTATTCTTCTAAGGTAGTTGAACGTTTACAGTAAATGATATATTAAGGAGATATATCGTTGCCCTTCTAGAATGAGAACTGAATTATCAGGGTTGTCAGGATCTTAAAAATAAGATTCAGTTTTTCTCTTTAGATTACAAACTAATACTTTAAAAAGGTGCAACATGACATGGACAATTCTTCTGATGCTTAAGATTTGCTTACCTTTGCTATAGAGAGAATAATGCTCCTTTCTGCTTAGTTTGAGGTATAATTTGGTTTTGGAATCGCCATCAAACCTGGCAGGTGTATTTATAAATTTCTTGAACTTACTACACCGCTGTGTTTGAGCTTCAAAGGCTTTCCTGTTAAATTGTCATTTTAAGAAAAAGTAAGTAAACAATTGGCACATTTTAGATTCACCGCCAAAAATCGGAAAGCTCCACAGATTGGACCCAATTATACAGCGCAGATCTTGGTGGTTGCTCATCATCTTACATTACCAAGCTTTAAATACTTTTATCTTGACTGCAAAATACTTCTCTCATATTCATCCATAATTAAATTGTTTCCCCTATGGTTAAGCAGCACAGAATACTCTTCGATGCAACTTCCGACTTCAAAATTGGAATCACTTAAGAGAAGAAATCAAAATCTGTCCCAAATTCTCTTACAAAAGATTAAATGAACAGTAATTCAAACGGAACAATCATAAGGGATTTCATTAAGCAATTAATCAAGTTGCTGGTAAGCAGTTTTGATTCTTGCTGAAAGAGTACCGACCTGAAATGTCATTGCTGTGAATATTATTCCTTTGCTAATTTGGCTTTTACATTTCCAGAGAGAACTGTAGCTTCTTTAAACATAGCGAAAGCGTCTGTTAAATGCTACCGGAATCCAAAGTTACTGGAATATTTATAAATCCTGCAATTCACATGGCACTTGTGAAAAATGCATAGCATTTCAGAATACCTCACCAAAAGCTGGCATTCCTCATAGAGGGAAATCTTTTGACTTCTGAGGTATGTCCCAATACTTTTTATATCATGAAGCACTACGCTGGGTCTGGATTTTATCTGTGCGGGGTTCACCTCTTCTATCCACTTGAAAAATGAACACTGCTCAGCTTTTGGGGCATCACAGGTATAGAACAAACGACCCTGGGAAGGGGCGGGGGGGGAAAACCATTAGCACATTAAAACAAACAAGCAAAAAAATGTAAAGCAATGCATCACTACTTGCTGCTATAGAAATAATTAGATAAACACCCATGTTTTGACTGTGTTTGGCTGAAAACCACAAGTGTGTTCCCAGAACTCTCAGCTTCTGAAGACTGTGTAATCATACCTTATAGAAATCCCATACAATCTAGAACGTTATAAATTCAGGTCTTTCTCTCTACATATACCAAGCTGTTTCTGTATGGAGAGATGAATTCAGGTCTTTCTATATACAAAGCTGTTTCTGTATGGAGAGAACTATTATGTTAACAATTCTGGACACTAGTGGAATACTACAACTGAACTTAAAAGTGATCTCTAACACGTCACTTTAACCTGCAATTGTAAATCATAAATAAATGCCCTGTAATTGTTCACAGAATACGGTCAACATGCCAAACACACACCCCAAACTAAACAAACAAGGAATATACAGCACCTTGTTTTGACCTTCTTTTTTAACCACAGCAAGCTTAGCAGGATGCATGTGATTGCAGAGTGGAACGCAGCTTGCTTTGCTCTGACTTCGCCCATCTTTCAGGGAAGTGTAAAATGATATATCCACTTTTGAAAGAGCGTTGTGTAATCTTTGTGACAACTCAAAGAGCACCGTGTTTAATTGCTCTTGACATGGAAAGAAGAATAAAAGAGTAATTAGCACAGCCTTAAAACAGTTATACAAGCACACAGCATTCAAATACATTTTCATTTAAAATTTTCAATTGAAAAAGAAAAAGCTTAGATAGGAATCTAAAGACTGGTAAACAGGCACACGATTACATAGTTGAACAGAAGTGCAGTATTCTTTTTGTCTTTGCAATTTTGGCTATAGACTGAATATATTTGAGTGTATGTATCCAAAACCAAGTGCACACTGTCGTTCCGTGCTGGTGATCTCTCTCCCTCTCACCCTGCTTTGTGAAGCTTCAGAAATACACTATTTAAAAATGACAGCACTTCACACAGCGTGGTGTTAGACGTACCTGTCAGAGCAGCTTTAAAAATTTGTTTATAGTGAACGTGAGACTGAAACACAGTTGGTATGGAAATCTTTCTTTTAGGAAGGTTAGTATATTTTACTTTATCCGCATTGGGAAAAGACAACTCAGAGATAGTTATGTCCTAAAAAAAACATACAAATAAACCATTAAACCTTACAAAACCCTGAGTGAGACAAATTTTGATAAATGGCTACTGTACAGATATGCCAAAACCTATGCATTTTTTCTTTCCTTTTCGCTTTTTTATATTATGCTCTCATTAATAAGTACAACTAAATAGAAAAAAAATCAGGGTCTCATTCTGCAATGAGAAGTTTCAAGATGACTGTCAATGAAGAATCAGTTTTCTATAAGCAAAATACAAATCCCCTTCAACATAGATGTTTGCAGACTTTGTTAACTGTAAGTACAGGAGCATGTATTCAATAGGACTGCCAACAGGAGTAAAATTAAGTACTCCCGGAGCTGCAGCACAGGGAGCTTGCACTGCCATTTACGATGTACCATGAAGTGAACATTTGCTCCTTGACAAACAGCCTGCATTTATAACAACACAGATCATCCTTTCAAAGGCTTTAGAGTAAATTGTGTAATTCAGCATCATGTTTTTAGCCCTAGACATGGGGAGGGAGCACACGAACCCCATTTTTAACACAATTTCTGCACAGAAATAAACCCATCAGATGAAACTATAGCACAGGTAGTACAGGCTAGGGAAGGAAGAACCAGACTAGAGAGCTTTTGGGAAAGTGTATACCACAAGCTATCCCCGTGCCTGCCATCCCAGCGGGTACCAAGGAGCTTCTTCCACCTATGTACACTGCAGATAGTGTAGAAAAAAAAAAGAAAAATCTAACATTTTCATTAATTCTTAAAACACAGCCATTTGACAACTTTTAAAGCTTGATTTGTGGTGGGTTTGGGCTTTTTTCGCAATATACTCCATTTGTTTAAGACAGTCTACTGGTAATGAACAGCTGTGCTATTCTTTTAGGTGTTTATTCAATGCAATCACTTTTCCACAATTAAAACTGAAGAAATTGGAAATATTTTAAAAACAGAGACTATGCTTTGAAGCAAGGTATGGGTGTTCATTAAAGCGATGCTGATTTCCCAATTAAAAAAAACATTTGTTGAAAATATTTTCATACCAATTATAGATGACAAAACAGCCCAGCAGGTTTTATTTCATCTTCCTGCCATCAACATTCAGATTAAAAATCTACATCTGGCACTGTGCGCGCCAAGGAATTACCTTTACAAAGGGTTAGTTACAGCACTTAAAAAAATACATTAGGAGCTGCTGTTCTGTAGCTGAGACTCTTGTGCTACCGCGTATGTATTTCACCCAGTCACACTGATAATATCTTGCAGGAAATCAGATAAATGCAGTTACTTTGTCCAGAAAAATGCATTTCTGTCACTGTATTTGCTTCAACAGTTACACACCTGGCCATCTCCTGTTATGGTGTGGCAGCTCAGATGACTTAACACCTTTTGTGTTGCTTCAGCCAAAGGCGTCTGACTTGAGCGCAGAGAAAGTAACTTCCCCTCTGAAATCAAATCTTGGTTGCTGGTATTTGCACAGCAGTTGCCAGGCGTGCTCCTTGCCGTCTGTAGAAGTGCGGAGCTGGGAGCACTTTTATTCACAGCGCTGTTCTCTCCTGTGTCACCCAGCGGCATTCCAAGGATGTTCTCAGCACAGATGTCATCAGTCATTTCCCCATCATCGCTGTTTTGAGTTACCAAGTCACACTGAGAACTGTTTTGATACTTTAGCCACTTGCTTTGTCTATATTTTGAAGTCACATTAGGGAACGCCGGTGGCATGGATTCCCTTTGTCTCTCTTCCGTGTACTCTCCAAACACAGAGGTTTCGTAATTTCTGTCCTCAGGGCCAAAAGTGCTAATAGGAAATACTGATGACTTGTTGCATAAATTGACTACTGACGAGCCGAAAGATTGCTGGAGCTCCTCGCTGTCAGTTGGATAAACTGCGTTAGGAATCTTCTCCGTGGCAGGAAGAGTGACAAATGGAGTTCGTGTTTTAGCTCTGGGGTTGAATCTTGAGAGGTTGCATTCCTCCAGATAGCCGGATTTCTCCCGTGCTGTAGGGCAAATACATCTTAAAAGCAACTTGCGGATGGCACATTAACGTCAGACATACAAAACGCTAAGATAAAGAACGAATTCTTAAGTTCTTCCTTTTACATCCCGTCTTCTAATTGGCATGCTCTTTGTATCACGCCTGTGCAGCACCACTCTAAATTTCCAGACAAAATGAGTGATTTCAACTGTGATTCTTAAATCCCCCTATTCAGGGATATCGCAACTTAAATCCCGACATTCAGAACACATTTCTGGAGGCATTCTACTTCTATAAAAGAAAATGCTTGGGCAAAATTATTTAAAGGTTATTTTGTGTTTTGGAGGTCATTCATCTGATGTTCTTGGTAGGTCACTGACAGCTGCCAAGTGGAAAACAAACCAAATGGCTTAACATTTGCTCCTTTTTCCAAAAAGGTCACCCACAAAACTGTGGAAATTAATATTTACCAATGTAGATAAATGGGCTTCTAGCACCACACACATTACTTTTGACTAAATTTACTATCAATAAGAAATGACAGTCATTGATAAGTGTCAACTGGAAGTGGATCAGAGGACAGCTGAATGTGGAAGAAAACTAAAAGCACGTAAATAAATGAACACATTAGTATGAATTAGAAGCTTAGGTTACAGACTTTTTTCCCCCCCAAAGTAGAAGCTGATTCTTCTTTATAAAATTAAATCACTCTACTGAGGTCTCTTTCAGGAAAATATAATTGCAGGGGGAAAGGCCTGGAATTCAATGCTAATCCAGTCGATTTGGAAAACACTGTTTAAAGTTGTTCTTTAAAAAAAAAAAAAAAAAAAGTAACACACTTCCCTATGAAAAACATGTGACAAACACAAGTGAAAATCCCTAGTACCCAGACATCTCAGGGTATTTCAGCACCCAGGGTAACTGTCTGTAATAGTGCAATGCACGTGCTTCAAAAATTCCCGAAGGTTTTCCAGCAAAAATACTGTAAAGTGCAACTATGAAGTATAATTTCTTACCGAAAGAAAAATGTGAAAGTTCTGGTTCACTTGGCAAGATCCTGTGTATCGGGGGCTCCTGGATGTCTCCTGTAGTTTCCTCACTTCCTGAGGCTGGAGAAATTGTAGAGTCTGGATCAAGTGAGGAAGTCAGTTCTACTGATGAAATTATCTACAGAGGAAGAGTTAACATGTCAAGTGAATGACTGGGAAAAAACCTCAATTATAGCTCTTTTGTCACTGTTCTCTCTTTCATCGTTCTAAACAACTGAAACGTCTCTCAGAGTTGAGAGAAAACAGTTTCAAAAGTAAGAAATTGCTATCATGAACACGTAGGAAATAAAGCCCAAAAGATCTAGAAGAGACAGTCCATTCACACCTTGTCAGGTTCCCATGAAGTCCACTGCGTTCGTCTCGCATCGGAATGTGAAGGTGAGCCTGACACAGTCCGCGGGGGAACTTCAGAACACACATTCAATGCCAATGCTAGGAAAAATAGGTGAAGGACAGAAGTCATGCAGAATAACTGTTCTGAGGCCAGTTGCTCCCGTTATACTTTTACTTGCACTTACGGGACTGATTGATTCTTGACTCTTTAATAACGTCAGAATTCTGTTGAAAATTCTCTTCTCTGATAAAGTTGATATCATCCTCATGAAGACTACCTGAACCTGGAGACTTTACCAAAAAAGTATAAGCAAAAACTTGTTAGAAATCAGAAGTGTTCATCCTCAACATAAATATTACCTTTGAGTCAACCTTATTTCTAAATATCTTATTTCTACATCTTCTTTCTAGATACAATGCTTCAGTATCTCCAGTCCATTCTGGAAGTAAAAAAATGAAATATATTTTTTTTCCATTATTTTAAATACTGAAATATATACTGCATTAGAAAACAAATATTTTATTTACCGTTGCATGTCATGTTTCTTTGCATCCAGGAGGAACAGAATCATAATCCAAGAAAGAAAGTTTTAACCCTTGCTTTGGAACTCTCTAACAATTACATACCAAATTTCAAATCCATTTGTGGTGAATATTCTGCTAACACCAGGAAGCATTCATTATAAAAGCCCTCTGCTACTTTTCTCTAGAATAAATCTCTGTTTAATATCATACATTTATGACTGTGTGTGTGAAACTGCTCAGAGGAAAAAAAAAGTTACATCTTGCAAACGCCTATTCCTATAACAAAGATGAGTAAAACCAATATCTAACTGCGAAGTTTTAACCATAAAGCACTATGTTCGGTTCTTCATGATTTTGATATGCTTGTAGTATTCTAAAAATGAACTTTCTTTTATCCTACATTTACAGGATACTTTATTGCACTAAGGTTAGTAAGGATAACTTGGAAAAAATTGTTTTACCTCTCTGAAGTCAGAAAGGACATAATTGCTTGAAAACAGGGGTGACAAAAACCTCTCGGCTGCAAACTCCGTATCATCTGGGTACTGCTGCCATCCTGGCTGGAGGCAGGGAGCTCTCCACATCATCTCACTAGCTGCTGATCCCTTTACTTGGTGCCCTTGAAACGCAACAGGCTATGCAATATAAATGATCATTAACTGAAAATAAGTACTGTTCTGGAACTATCTACAGTCGATAAAAGTACTTTTCATACATACAACAAAAATAGTCTCTTGGAAACTGCAGAAGAGGAAAAAAAAGAATCTATGCTTTTCTCTTTCTTTCTCTTGCACTCCTGCAACTCAGCAGCAATAAAGGTTTTGCACAAATCTCTGCCAACAGAAAATGGATATCCCGATGTAGTACGCTCAGTCTTCTTTTTGTATTGTAAAATTTGAGTTTTAAAACGCTCAGTGGAAAACTTCCCACAGACAAATGTGCTAAACAGTGATGAGAAGCCCATTATAAGACTGCTTAAATATTTATTAGGAGTTCTTGTAGTATATTCCAGATTGTAAACCACTGAATTGAAATTTAAGAAACACTATTCATTGTACTTCAATTCAACAGAAATTGTACCTTCGGCTGGCAGTCAGATGTCCTGAGGTCTTGTTGGGCCGCTGCTCTTGGTAGAATACATGTCTCTCTCTTCTGTAATAAATTGTCCACACAGTTGGGCTGTGTATAAAAGTATTGAAAGCTACTTAGTCCAGCAATCCAATAACCATTTAAAGTGAAAAGGTAAGCTAAGAAATGTCTTTTATTTATACAATAGAAAACATTTTAAATGACAGCCTTTTTGTTTGGAAGCCAGAACCACCCATGACAGGATAAGAAACTATGATTGCTTTTCAAATGGGACAGGAAAAAGAGAAGAATTTAATCTAAAAACCTTCTTTCACTTTGGACAGATTGAAGGAAAGGGACTATTAATAGCATTGGACAAAAATCCATGTGAAGCATCAAGCACAAACAGATTTGCCAGTATATTTCAACCCAAGTGCTAAAATTCCCAGGAAAGCCACGCATTCAAAAAGATAGTGAAAGAAAAGGAAAAAAACATGGTAAAAGAAGATGGGGTAGGGAAGGAGAAGTACCAGACATACTAATGCGATATTAAACATAACTAATTTGCATTAAGTTGCTTGTCATACATTAGGCCTCCTGAACATTTATTGGCACAAGGGTGTGCAAGAGGACACCTCCTGTTTACTATCAGCTTCTTAGTCGATGCCTCTAAGCAGTTTCTAGCTCAACCTCTATAGTGTCATAAACCCAGAATTTTATTCAAGAAGCCTGGTGGAAAATGAATTTATCTTGTACAGATAGATATACGTAGTCAAAAATTGGTTACCATAAGGCCAGAAGAATCAAAGTATGAACAGGAAGATGCCTGTATACTTTCTGAGTAAGGCATTTCTGTAAAGTGTTTTATAGCTACAAGAGATGGAAAAGCATAATAAGTTACAGTTATAGTACACTTTTTACATGAAAACATTTGAATATGTACCGGGCTTGCAAATAACTGCAGTTAGGATTTAACTGAACTAAAGGAAACAAAGACGCAGACCTGGAGCCCACACTGTTGCTTTAAACACTAGAAATTGCATGAGGGAACCTTCATAACACATCACTCCAAAAGTATGATTTCTGAATAGGAGTTGTCCAGCAAGAGAGATAAGAGCACAGAAGTCAAATAGGTACAGTCGTACAGAAATCACTCTAAAATAGAAGCTGACCTAACCTTCATCTTTCACAAGGGGTTCAAGTATCTCTTTAGAAGTCTTTGCTTCATGTAATATGCTATTATTTTCCTCCATCTGTTGTAAGCTTTCTAATGCTGTGCTATGTTGAGTCAAAGCTCTTAGAAGAGCAATACTGTTTACCAAATCGGGAAGATCTGATGAATTTTCAGCTATTTCCGTGCATTTCAGGCAATCAATTCCTATTCTTTCAGCTTTGCAGGCTTCAGGAAAGGCGTTTATGCTCTCTACGTTTTCAAACTCAGTTTCACCTGCTGCTGTTTCCTCTGGAGACAAACAGCCTTTTCCTAAAGGACAGATAGAACTTCTGGAAATGAAAGTATCTTCCTTCTGTGAAATGCCAAATACCTTTCGATGGTCTTCTGCACTATATCGGAATGAGCCATAGCTAGGATCTGATTTTTGTGACAAACCCAGCAAAGGACTACCTGGTTTAACGTCATCACTCTTAGTGGCCCAGAAGGGTTCTAAATGAACATCTGGGGATTTCTTGCATCCAAGCTGTGTAACATCTTCTTCGGTCCTTTTGTCCATTGCAGAAATTACTCTGCTCATAGAAATACATGACATACTTCCAGTTTTCTCAAACATACTGGCTTTAGGGTGACATCCATTAACATTTGTGTCATCAGGCAAAAGATCAGAGTGCTTGCTTTTTATCCATGGCATGCCGCTAATGGTACATGCTCCACAGCCATCAAGATCCTTCTTATTTTTTGTGGCTTCAATACTTAATTGACTTTCTTTCATCTCTTTTATGTTGTTTCCATCATCCAAACGTCTCACTTCAATTCTGGTCTGGTTTGCAGAGTCTTCTGCAGTTCTCCCCATCTCTCCGACATTGTTGTCGCCAAGCTGAGAGGGTATACCCCCAGTGCAGTGGTTTCTGTCATTCTCTCTGTCAAACGTTGAACATTTGGTTTCTTCATTTTTACTGTGTGTCACTACTTCACAGCAAGAATGAAGCCTCAGCATGCTGTTTTGGGCTGCACCTTCTCCTTTTAAGAAATCTGGACTTGGTAAAAGCATGTCTCCTTCGGTGAGCTTATTCACATTGCTTTCACACAGGTCTTCATTGTCGGTGACATTAAAATCAAAAGCCTCCATTAGATTAAAGTTAACCTCCATCACCTGTTCATCTGCACCACAGTCTTTGCCACGCGTACTTAATTCCTCCTTTCCAATTCCAATTCCAGGCAACGTTACGTCCACAGAGAGCTCCAGGTCACGAGGCAGCCTTTCTGAACCTCGCCTGGGCCCAAGCTCATTTGGCAACCTCACAGGTGAAGTCTCCTTAAGGCCGTTAGTCACTGAACGCTCCCTGTGTCTGGAGAGAGTTTTTTCAAAGGTGACTGGACTTGTTGAACACAAAACTTCACCTGAGGATGGGACAAACTGATTGTCACTCATGCTGCTTATGGTGGCTGCAGGTAGGAAGCAACTATTTGTATTGCAGGGATCTGGTATCTCTTGACTTAAATTATTTGCTTTTTCGTCATGCGTCTGTCCTGTGACTTCTTTATCACAAGGTTGTTCAGCTGAACTTAGAAGCATTTCAGCATTCCACTCCTTTTCATCACTTACAGTTCCCTTTGTAAAAGGCAGGTGCTGAATATTTTGAATGAGACTTTTGGCAGGGTTGCCTGAAAAAGCAGGTAGGATCATGCTTTTTTTGTCATATAAGCTGTCTGCATTTTCCAATGCCTGAAATCTAGAAGGACATTCTGTGACTTCAGACGTTGTTTGCTCTCTGCATCCTTGTGTTGGTTTAGACTTCAAAAGAGCTATTATCTGTGCTGTGCTCCTGATGTTCTGTGACGCTGCCCTGTGACAGCCTGTCTGACTACTAGATTGGGCGTGCCTGGTAATTAGAGGAGATTCTGGCTTCACAATGGACTGATCGGAGTTTTGCTTCTCTGTCTCCTCACATCTGTCAAGAAACGGAGCCGAAAGCAGTGAGGAGAGAGACACGTGTTCTTTGTCAGTAGCCGTACACACATCTTCATGAAAGCCTGCAGATAGATTTGTTTCTGCATCCTTCTTGCAAATCGTAGAAAATAACGGAGAGGTAACATAAAACTTGGACGGAAAAGTACCCTGGCACTGCTTAGGTAAAGGCAGTATTTTTGGTTTTTCTCCATCTTCCATTGTTGATATTTTCTTTTCAACTTGGCGTGGCCCTTGGAAACCCTAGGAGAGAAATTTTAAATTAATGCCACTCAGAAATCAACTTCACATTTGTAATCAAATCTTGAGAAAAAGGCACACTCCATAAAATATATACAGATCAAGCAGCACATGACGATTCCACAGGTGTATAGAAATAATCTCAATCCCTGCAATTTTCACTGCAGCCTTAGCAGTAGCTATCTGGCTAAAGCAAATGGATTTAGTAAACTCTGGGAGAAATAGCTACCGGTATCACACTCTGGCTTACAGTTCCGAAAAAACAGGAAGATACTGCCATTCATTAAAAGATGTGCTCGTTGTGTTTTAAAATGCATGTTGACATCAGACGTAACTTTTGAAACAAAGACATACTGTAAACTTCCTTTTCAAGCCGACAGACAGATGTCTTGGAGGCAGAACACCAGGTTTTACAGCATTTCTATCCACTGCTGGACTTTCTGCTGTCCTTGGCTGATCTTCAAAAGATTTTTCATTCACTTTTACTGCTTCAACTGTGATCAAATATCGTTCGCTTTCTAAATTATCTCCAGTATTGACCTAGAAGAGAGAAAGCAGCAGTGTGTACATAATAGTGCTATATAAGAAACAGTAACAGTCTTCTAAATACTTATATGTGAAAATTTTCAAAATTTACAACCAGTATATCACAGCTGCCATATAAATAGTTAGATTAAAATATACATATACTAGAAAGCATTAGCACTTCAAGTCATGCTTATTTAACATATCGCTGTAATACAGTGCTTTTATCTGAAAGGAATAAAATTCCATAAAACCTCTACATTGGTTCTGGAAAAGCAATTAGACTAATTAATAAATAGCAGCTGTTTTCGCTTTCCATTATTTGCATTGCAGCAGACTTTCATATCTGCAATAAGAAAAGCACTACCTTAGGTACCAAACAAGAGTTTAAAATGCTTCCTGAAACACAAACCAGAATCAAGCATAAAAATAAACCAAACTCCAAAGAAAATATACCTGAGATTTTATAAAAATACTCTCCAAACACTGTCCTTTATCATCAAACAAGACAGCCTGCAATGAAAAAATGGAATTTTAAAAAGCTAATTTTATTTCACAGATCAATTAGATCACCACTGACAGTCCAGCGGCAGCAGGTGACATTAAATCCAACGGTACTGAATCCGAGTTGTTCACCTTATTTCCGCCAGTTCTAATCCTCAGAATTCCATCTTGCCACGTTTTTGATTTTTTCATTTTCTGGTGAGTGTACAATACCTGTTTTAAATGTGCAAAATGTTGAAATAATAGTAAGTAAGAAAACGTTTAAATAATACAGCAGCTACAGTGTCTTTTAATTTATTTCTACTTCATTGTACACGGTGTTAAAAATCACTTACAGTAAATTCTTGAGAAGCCATTTCTTGGGCAGAACGGTCATCCTGCGGCTTATTTCACAAATATTCACATCTTCACGCAGCCTGAGAGACAGGGAAGTGTTCAGAATCCACCGGAGTTGTGAAGGAGAGGTATTGACAAAAAAAAAAAAAAGAGGAAGAGATGTCAGTTCACGTTTTTCTTTCCCTTCAAAAGAAGAGAGCCAGATGCCAGACAATGTCAAACCAGGGGGGTACAGCCGGTGTGGGCTTTTTAAAGAGAAACCTTGAAAATCATCTAACACAAAGACTACTGGTAATTTTTTTTAACATTTACATTTTTTATATAGACAAATATATAGGAAGTTTTCTAACTTCCAGGGCAACCCAGTCATTTAAGCAACTCCGAAACCCCCAGCGATCGCACTGCTATTCAGAGTTAACAAATTATCCAAAAAAAAACAACCCCAAAACCATAGAAGCTATTAACAGACCAAGTTTGTCGCAAGTTCATTGACCCCGGGCTCAGTTCACGTTAAAGATACCGGCCTCTCGGCCATGAAGTCAGGCCTCCGCACGTGTTTAAGGCTGGACGACAACGACTTTGGCAATGGCCGTTTTAAATGATGCAACCAGGAACAAAT